TGGGCAAGGGGCTGTGTGGATGTAGTGAGTAAGAGAAACTAAGCATGTAGCGTGCCTTAGTGTTTGCTCCTTTCCAGCTTGCAGGCACAACCCTTCTCTGGAGCGGCACCTGCCTTTGAGCCCACAGCGGGGAGAGGGAGAGCTGTGCTGCAGTTGCCCTTGCGGCCCTTCTATCGGCTGCCTTCCTCTTCTGAGGAAGGCTCCATAAGCCTTGAGCTCTCCTGGGGAGGAGATGTGAGGACATCATCCTTCCCGTGAGTCACCTGGAGCAGCTGTAGCTTTGCAGAAGGACCTGCAAGGTCTCCAGTGCTGGGAGGAAGCACAAAGGGGAGCACGAGTGACTCTGTAGCACTGGCTCTGGGTGCCTCGAATGGGAATGGCTCACAGGAACGATCATGGACTTCGGAACGGCCTCATCCTGTGCTTTGAAAAACAAGACAGTTACGACTGCATTTCTTGAAGGATCTGTGCCTGCTGATGTGTGCTAGGAGTATTGATTGCTTGTGCCTACCAGGGAACTGAGTTGCTGCGTCGCTTAGTAGTCTGGGTCTGGTGACTTTGCCAGTCTTCCTTTTTATGTCTCAGACCCCATTACACACCGCATTTTGGGCATGTGTTGGTACCATATGCTTTCTTCTGTACCCAGTATAGACTAGAGAGCACGTACTATCTATGTACACACCAATTTGTTGTTTTAATGCAAAGGAAAAAGGCTTATTTAATGTTTCATAAATTGAGGAGCATTACTTTGAAAATGCAGATGAACTTGAAAACTTTATAAGGAAATGGAAACTAGTTTAAAGTAGTCCACTATTTCTGTGGAACACTTTCATGTGTAATGTGAACTGTCATTAAGGGCTCCATCAGTCTATAACAGCTGTGACTGGAATAAGAGCATAAAGGCTTAATCAGGAAAACATGTTAAAAAATGAAGACCAAAAAATCCCAACATGTAATTTGTGTTGTTGGAGTAAGCAAACTAGATAAACACCTAACACAGGATAATAGAAATTTAGAGTAGAACTGTATGCTTTTCCTTTTAACTAAAGTGTTAACGATAAGCTCTGAGAAACTTAAGACCTAAATTTGACCCTGAATTTGACTGTTTCAGTAAAGAGAAATAAAATAAATGCCATTTTGGCATTTAACATTTTTATTTTTTCCTGGAGCACAGCTATCATTCAGGCAGAAAGAAATTAAAGCTAAAACAAGCGTTATTATTTTTTTTCATAAATGTAACTAGCAAGAAGGGAAAACAATGTCAAAAGCATCTGATTCTGTTGAGTATATATTATATAAAGATGTACTGTAGTTGATGTTTGTCTTTATTGAACATGGGGTAAAAGATGAGTCCATGCTTTATTTTATAAAGCATAATACACCTTTCTTATTTGAAAGTGATAGGTTATAGCATCCCAAAGGTACCCAGATCTATTGTTTTAATATAGAAAAAAATTGCCTATTTGTTTTAGACAGTTGATGTAACTGTCTTTTCTGTTAATATTTGATTGGGATACATCTGCCTCTTTATCACTGACCGTAGCACAGTTGTTGGAGGTCATATGAGATGCTTCAGTTTGAAGCTGGTCTGTGGCTGTTTGATCTCTGTGGTAGTAGCCCTGGATAATCCATCAGGAGGGGAAGAGGAATTCCCGAACACAGAAGGAGGAACCAGTTCTCAATACCTGTCTCGCACCATATTTCTCAGCCTGCTCTCATTCCCTCGGGATCCCTGTGGCAGGCTGCACCACCTTCCTCTGTTTCCCATAAATTTGTTTTTGGAGCTGCAGAGATGATTCCATTCAAATATACATGACTCAACCTGAAGATTTTTATGTCAACTCAATCCTTTTATTGATTTTTCTGTGGCAAGCTGGGGACAGTGTGAGTGTTTGGTCAGGTTTTTCCATTAGCAGCAAAGAATGCACAAGTCCCTAGACCCAGGAAGGTCACCTTATAGATATCAATTGTGTAACACAAACTTTCTTTTCTTTTTGAAGAATCTCTAAGCTGTAGTTTTCTCTATGTATCTGAGTGCTGCTGGAAGTGTTTTCAGCTTCAATTATCAGTCACGCAACAAACTAATTTGCCTGGTAATCAGTTCCAAAAGCAGCCAGCACTTCCATTTTCACTTTCAGCCCTAGCAGAATTGAAGAACACAGCATCTGGCATTTACAAGTTTCTTACACACTCCTTTAGATGTAGACAGAATAAACAAAAGTTCTTTTGAGGTCAGGTTGTGAAGTGCAACAGTAAATAAGGAAACATAGGGCAGGATATAAAACTTAGAGCTAACTGCATTTCAAGAGCAACATTGGAGGCTGCTAAAATAATTCAGCTTTATCTTTTGGCAAAATAGAGGCTTATAATAAGCACTGGAGTTACACAAGATTTTATCTGGTTTTTCATTTGCTCTTTTACCTTACACAGGTCCCTGTTATACCCAATTTTGTTTTTCCTTTTCCTTTTGACAGTGGCATGATTAGAATTCTCTTTAACAACTAACACAAAAGATTCAATGGATTTTATTGGAAGTTGTGTAAGGTTTTCTGAAAATGTTAGCGTTTTTCTAAGTATAAGTAAGGAAAGCCTGATCAACAACTGGTTTCATAAATGAGGCATTTTCAAGTAGGTTGACCTACAGGTATGCACCTTAGAGGAATTAGCTGTAGAAATAACTGTAATCTTATAATTTAAGTTTGAAGACTGTTGAGTGATGAATGCAGCTCTCCAGAAAGACATGATGTCCTTTTTCAAACAACTTTTAAAGAGACTTGTAGGATTGTTAGCCAATATTCTAGTGAGGAAGTAGCAATCCTGAATTTTAGAGAGGAAAATTCAGGCCACATCCTAGGAGAAGATTTTGAATAGTAAGAATAGAGAAGTACTGAAATGTGACTTACGAGGCTTGTGGAATGGCCGTTGTTAAAGGTTTTTAAAAATGGATGAGAAAAACTGTGAGAAATATCTAAGCTAGAACTGATCCTGCCTCTAGGTAATAGGATGGATTAGCTGGATAATCCCTCTCAGCTCTATTTTCTATTACCTTTCTTTTTAATCATAAGTGTACATCCCAAGGCTCCAATTACACCCTTTCCCCTCGTGTTCAGCTTTTAGGAAGGAAGCAATCACTCTCACATGTTAATGACTAGACTCTCTACTAGTTTTACCAAGGCATCCTCAGAAGAATCCAGGTACTGGGTTCATATGCAAGACAAGCATCAGTTATCTTAGATGATTGTTAAAAATTGGGGCACCATTACCGAAATTAACAGTACTGGATGGTGTGTAGTCATTCAATTGAATTCCAGTAAACCCCTTATTTAAAAAAGTATTCCAGCTTTCATGTTCTTTTAATCACTTAAACTATTTGCTGTGTAGTCTTAAATTTTTGGAATCTCTGAGCCACAAGAGGGAGGAAGTAGTTCTAACGTCTGGGTTTCTCTCCCCATTTATCCCCAGCAGGGTCCAGTAAGTAACAGGTGGTATTATACATTATTCATTGGGGCAGCTCTTCTTATGACTGAAGTGATTTGTATGCTGTTGTAGAAGGTAGAACCCTATTGTCTGTCAATATACATGTTGCTTGGATTTCTTATTTTATTTGCAAAAATAATAAAACTGCTACATCTTACAGTTCTTGGTCAAAAAATTCCATTATCCTCTTCTGGAACATGGTCATGTATGAAGAAAAAGCATACCAAGCACAGCTATTCTATTATTATTTAAATTATTCCTCTGTATTATAGGTTTTGAATATTTATTAGTTTTTTGATAACGTGTTTCATTATTCATAAAGGGTAGCCACACAGCATGATGAAAAAAGCAGTACAATGAAATGTTATTTTGCATAGCTGGCGTCTTTCATACAAAGTGTTCTCCAGTGCTTGTTTTTAATGAAGACCTGAAAGGTGCTGGGAACCTCCATCATGTTTCTTGCAACATCCCCTCCCTGTTGGTTTTGGTGGGAGGGGAAACCATCCAGCACCTCACCACCCTATATGCTGTAGCAGGGTTAGGCATGAAATAATAAATACCCTCCGAGGGAGATGGAAATGAAGAGAGAAAGGTCAGGAAAGAAAGATGTCTTTTCACATGAGATATGAAAAACATACGAAGAATTACTGACGTAGAGAGAAAGAGAATGGAAGGTTGTTTTAGGTGATTTATGGACTTTTTCTTTTGAGGCCCACAAGAGTCCAAGAAAATAAGGGCAGTTGCTGTGCTGACTGTGGTGTCTGTGTGTATGTTGAGTGTGTGACAGCAGTCAGCGTCAAATGCTTCACAGGAAGGCATAAAACCCCACAGTAAGCAGATTGGGGAAGGATTATTTTCACGCACTAGGTCTCATCCTCAATTCTAATATGTATAGGTTTGTTTAAACCCTGAAGTGTAAGTTTTAGTGTCTGTTCTAAAAGGTTTCTCATCACCTCTGGTACGTATTGTTCTTAGCGTTCTTGTTACTGATATATCTACAAAGTGCTCTTTAGACATATGGGTAGATCTTTGTTCTCAACAGCATTTTGCATCAGTGATCTCTTAGTCTGATAATACAGCTTTTATGTAGATGGATGCTTTTGTTTATTGCCCTTGAATTTGACATGTTCTGCCTTCATTGACTATCCCCTTTCTTGTTATTTTATGTTTTTGATTCATGGCTCGCTCTCCTCAACTTACATTACTATGGTGACTGCTAAAATTTAGAGTATCTTTTGACCGACTGCCTTGTTTTTATTAAATCCTCCATCTCTGCCAGACTTGAATTTGGCACTTTAATTTTTCTGACTTCTTGTTTAATTGCACCAGTCTCTTGTGTGATGTAAGTCCTTCGCCAAGACAGCCTGCTTAAAATCTGAAATGCAAAATGGGCCTCAGGAAAGGTCAATTTTTGTGTTAATATTGTAGATCAGTGTGAAGCTTGCTTGACTGTGAAGAGTGTGGATTTTAAAAAACACGATAGTCTAGTGTAGGATTATTGACCAATTTCTTTTTGTTTCCAGCTGAGCTGCCAGGATCGTCTGCAATCAAGCTCTCCTCCTTGCGTGATCTTCCAGCTCAGCTGCAAGAATTGTACCAGGAGGGCTTTGTCTTGGCTGCTGTCCACCCTTTCGTGCAACCAACTGATGAAAAAGAGAAAACTCCCCAAGAACAAATCTTCAGGGCTGTGCTTATCAAGAAAGCAGAAAGGTAAAGCACTTCCAGTGAACTGGGATAAAAATAGACAAAAAAAAAAGTTTTGACCTACATCAGGAAATCATAGCAGAGTTTACTGTGCAAGACTTGATTTTTTTTTTTTTTTTGTGGGCTTGAAAAGGCTTAACATGCTCTTCATGTTTACAATTCATCTGCAGTTTAGCAGACAACTTGGAAAGTAACAAGTTGAAAGATGCACTGTATTTTGGGATGTGTTGTCATGAGAGGCAAACAAACAAGCCCTATGGGTGACAATTTGTAAGGATAGTCCTGTTGGTACCTTTTAAGAATTTATTATTAGATTAAATTAAGACAGAAGAAATGTTTGCTTGGAAAAGCATTGTGTTTAGACAGTTACCGTTAATGCAATTAATTTAAGAACCGTAGTACTAATGCATACTTCTTAAATTTATCTGTAGACTTTACGCCATTCTTTCCTCAAGTTCTTTTAAGTTTTCAGTCAGTGCAAACTCTTTCAATAAAAAGATGACTGTCTTGCTTTGTTCAGTCTCTTAAAAATCTATTAAGAGTATTTCATATAAGCAGTCTGAAGATGAATAAACAAACAGATATTCTTTTATGTTTTAATCTGATTTTTAAAATATCAATAGAATGTTCTCTTATGTACTTCAGAAGAAAATAAAAATGTGAATATTTGAAGCATATATTTATTATTTTAGTGATTTTAAACAATTTACCATTATCTGACGACCCACAACTCTGAAGCTTTGTTGTTGCAGCCATTCTGTGCAGTTTTCTTACATTAGTTGCATTCCCCAATCTGCCCCTTTTTACAGGGACCTATCCTGAAAGCCTCCCTGTGCTGATCCTAGTCCCTCTGTTGGTTCTGGTGCTTGAAGGAAAGGATTTAACTTTAAAGTAAAACCACCATTTAATTTGCTACAGCATCATAACCAATTGGTAGCAGTTACAGACAGGGTCAAACTTCAGTCTGTGACATAAGGAGAAAGTTCTGCATTTCATTTATGTAGACATTGGGTGTCCCTGGCAATTTTAGCTTCTGAAATAACTCTCAATTTACCTTGTCCTGCTTTTAGTATTATTAATACAGAACTTCATGCTGGCTTGACTGATGATATTGTTTAAAGGTTTTCTAGGTTTATGCTTAAAACATAAAATGTTTGGCTGAACAATGGACTTCTTGAGTACTATTGGGCTGAGCTTGCCTGGTTTGAGGGCCTTGCTTTCCC